AGCCTCAGACCCAGGCCTCTTTACTCCAAGTCTGGGGCTCCTCTCACCCCTGAACGCTCTTGTCCCAGCCTCTGTGCTGACTTCCTAATCAGAGCTGTCCTGATCAAATCCCCGAAACCCATCAGGACCCAGGGATCTGGGGCTGCTGAGGGAGCTCACTCCCCTGCAAGGCTGCTGATCAGACTGCAGAGATCTCTCAGAGGAATGGTACGGGGGCCAGAGCAGGGAGGGTGACAGGGGAAGGAGAAACAGCCACACCTACCCCCTCCCCTTCCAAACAGAAACTGTGGCTTGATAGGAGATTCCTTCATCTCTCTCTCTCTCTTTCCCTGTCAGCTAGAATCCTTCTCTCTTTCCTAGACCCAGCTCAGGCCTCTGAATGAAGCCATTCCTGATCTACCCAGACCCATGTGACCTCTTCTCCTCTGGCCTCTCATTCTTCTCTGGCTTCTCCTATGCAATTACATGGAGCTTTAAGGACTGGAAGGCACTTCACACTGTCATCTCACTTGATCCTTTCCAGCAACCCTGTGAAGTGGGTGCTATTGTTATCCCCATTTTACATACTAGGAAACTGAGGCACAGAGGTTACGTGACTTGCCCAAGGTGATATAGCTAGTAAATGTCTGAGGCAGGATTTGAATTCAGGTCTTACTGATGCCAAGTCCAGCATTCTATACCACCTAGTTGCCATTAGAAGTTCTACTGTTATTTATTTTTAAAAATAAGTTTTTATTGATTTCTTCTGTTTCTTATATCAGAGTTATCCCCAATATCCTTTCTTCTCTCCTGCCATTGTTCCTTATATGTATACCACACCCCATCTAGGAGGCTGTAAGTCCCTGAAGGTCAGGGGCTATGCTGGTTGTTTCACATCTTTTATCTCCAGGGTGACCCCAGGGCCCTGCACACAGTAGAAGCAGATAAATATTTACTATTTATTAGCACATTTATTATTTCATTATTATAACAGCATATTTATTAGCATATTATATATTATTTATTAGCATACAATATGACAATATTACTTATTAGCACAATACATGCTAATAAAAATATAATAGATGAATCAAGTTGGATTTTTTTTTTTGAAAGCCCTGAGTGGCCCAGAAAACTTCTGAGTAAGTGATCACCTTGGGAAAAACAAAAGCGAAAAGCTTCCCACTTTCCTCTAGTCTTGCTTTTTTCCTTCCAGTCTTTCTGGTGTGGAGGCTGTCTAAGATCAAAGCTCAATGATCACGGGCTCTTGGGAGTGCAATATATCCAGGAGGAATAGCACCCAGACCCCATACCGCCTTAGAGTCATGGGAATGAACAGTCGAGGACAGTTTTACCTGCTGCAAAGCATCTCACATCTTCTCTCCACCCACAGAGCTGCCGCTCCAGGTAAGGCTCTCATCATCTCTCATCTGGACCATTACAATAGCTTCCTCATTGGTCTCTCTGCTTCCAGACTCTCTCCTCTCCACTCCACTCCATCCTCTACAGCGTTTCCAAAATAACCTTCCTAAAGCACAGGTATTGACTCTTTTGGTCAGGAACCTTTGGTGGTTGTCTCTCTCGACTCTGGGATAAAATACAAACTCTTCAGCTTACTCTAATGTTCCAGACGACTGGCCTCCCTACTGTTCCAGGTCCTTCCGTTCTATCTTTGCACAGGCCATCCCCTAGGCCTGGAACGCACTTCCTCCTCACCTCCACCTCCTTAGTGTTCTTCAAGGCTCAGCCAGGCCTCTTCCTGTGCAAAGCCTTCCCTATTGGACTCTGAGCTCTTTCAGGGTAGAGACTGTGTTTTAGCCTTTCCTTCTATGCTCTGTGCTTTGCACAATGATGGTATATAGTAAGCATTCAATAAATGATTGTTGTTGATGGCAATAATGTTTAGCCTTCTCTTCTTCCTTGAATTTGTGCGCCTTCTCCCCACCCTTTATTTTTTTGTCTTTTTTGCTAGGCAATGGGTTTAAGTGACTTGCCCAGGGTCACACAGCTAGTAAGTGTCAAGTGTCTGAAGCCGGATTTGAACTCTGGTCCTCCTGACTCCAGGGCTGGTGCTCTATATACTTTGACACCTAGCTGCCCCTACCCTTTAGACTGCAACCCCCCTGAGGACAAGGATGGGTTCATTTTTGTCTTTGTTTCCTCACAGCATTGCATAGTGCCTAGCACATAGTAGGAGGTTAAATTGAACCTTGTTGGATTGGTTTGAATCTAAAAGTCAACAACTTCTCCGTATTCATGAGTGTCTGGCATTTCTAAGTTTTAGGAACCTGAGAATATCATAGCACTAAGACAGTTATTGAAAATATTCCCCACAGCACCATGAGAAATCTGGTGGACCTGATGGGCTACTGGTAAGCACCCTATTACCTTAATACTGTCTTCGTAGACTTGTGTTTGACTATAGACTATATTCATAGGTTATCTTTGAATTTGAATGTATATTGAATTCAAAATTTTATAAATTAGCCTCAGACTGCTAATTAGGAGAAAAGCCCGAATATCAAACCTAGAGGAAAGACTATCACAGGCCCTTTGCTAAATCTCAGAAGCACCAACCAGGGGCTAGCGTAAGAACGCCAATAAGAGTGGGTCTCCCATGTGAGCTGTTCCTGGTTTGTCCTTCTCCTCTCCTCAGGAGGCACGAGTTTGCAGGCTGCATTTTCTCATGTTCCCAGCAGCAGCTTCGCTGGCCTGCCAGGACCATGAGCCAGGCGGGGCTCTGCATGCTGAGCCCCAAGGCCACACTGAATGGGATGCCATATTATTAATAGGAGCCAATGATTCCAAGGAAAGAAAGCAATCGTTCCACTGTCCTTGACCCTTGGCAGACCATAGAACATCTAATAATAAGAGATTTTTAAAGTTTGCAAAGCACTTTGCAAATATGATCCCATTTGATGCCCCAGACAACCCTATGAGGTAGGTTCCTATTTTACAGATGAGGAAACAGATTAGAAGAAGATAAATGACTTGGCTAGGGTCATATAGCTAGTAAGAATCTAAGGCAGGATTTGAACCCCACTTTTCCTGACTCCAAGTCCAGTGCTCTAGTTTGGGATATCACAGTTCAAGAAGGACATTGGGGCAGCTAGATGGTGCGGCGGATAGAGCTCCGACCTTGGAGTCAGGAGATCCTGAGTTCAAATTCGGCCTCAGACACTTGATGCTTACTAGCTGTGTGACTCTGGGCAAGTCACTTAACTCTGATTGCCTCACCAAAAAGCAAAAACTAAAAAAAAAAAAAAAGGGACATTGACAAGCTGGGGCTTCTTCAGAGGAAGGCAACCAGAATGGGAAGGGGCCTAAAAAGCATACGAAAATCATTTGAAGAACCTGAGAATGCTCCTGGAAAAAAGACATTATCTGTAAGCGTATTATAGTCTTGTCCCTACCCCTATTACTAGAATGAAAATGTCTTCATTCTGTCTTTGTATCACCAGTGGCCAGCACTGTGTCTTGGACACAGTAGGTGCTTAAGGGTTGATCTGCATTGAGTTTAGGGGGTTCATGATAACTGACTTCGAGTAGGGCTCTCCTAGGGGAGAGGGATTGCGCTATTTAGGGTGGTTCCAAAGGGCAGAGCTAGGAACAATGGATGTAAGTTAGAGCACAGCAGATTTTGGCTCAATTTAGGGAAGAACTTTCTAAGGACTGAAATGGGGTGGGGTGAGCTTCCTGTCATGGTGGTCTTTGGATGGATACTTGCTGAGGATGATGCAGAGATTTCCTGATCATATATGACTTGGACAAGATGTCCTCTGAGGTCTGAGATTCTGGGATTCTATAAATAAAGCCCCCACCGCTCTGCCTCCCCCAACAGTCTAGTTTCTTATTCCCCAAAAGGGGAATTTTCAGATTACTATTTCTCCATCACAGACTAAGGAACACAATTAGCAGCCTCACAGTTGCCCCTAAGTCAAGAACAACTGAATGCTAGGTTCCCTTACTGGCCTTTGTTGACTTTTGCTTGAATCCTAGATGTAGGTAGTGGCCAGAACTAAACACAGTACATCATATGTGGTCTGACCAGAGCAGAGGACAGTGAAATCATCACTGCCCCTTTTTTTGGACACTGGCTTCTGTGGATATAGCATGATTCTGATATATCTTTTTTTTTTTACTTCCATATTAGATTGCTAACTCGTACTGAGCTTGTGGTCCACTAAAACCTTCAAGTCCTTTTCATATAAACTGTCATATAGCCACATAGCGTCCCCTATCCTGTATTCGAGTTGCTGATTTTTTGAAGTCAACAGCTGGACTTCACATGTTTCCCTTATGCAACAATTTGAAACTCAAATTCAGAACTTAGAATTTCAACCTATTAGTTTGGTTATTTTGCTTTTATTTCCACTGAGTTGCTAAGGGAGTGCTGCTCAATGGACTAGAATCTTGGCTTTGGAAATTAATTTTGCTTACTAGCTTTGGGGAAGGGGGTGAATGAAGAAAATAATAGAAAAGTCCTTTTCATATTTAATTTAAAAAGACTAGAAAAGTAGCCAGGCTGTGTGTGGACAGAATTTGTGCCCAATGAATCTATTCCTCCCTCCCCTCAAGAGGTGAAAGATGGCACTGAGATTGGGATTGAATGTCTACACTCTATAAACAAGTGAAGATCCAGAGATAGGACTGAACCCATTAGATCTATGGGCTTGTTCAAGGAAGTAAGTTTTAAAAATTGAAAGGGCAAATGTGCTCACATTTCCTTTCATTCTTTCCCATTTCTGCTCTGGGAAATCCAGAGCCACGGGTAACCCCTTCACCTGGCATGGGCCCTCGGGGTCAGTGCCTCAGAAGTACCACATCTCCATTCTCTACTGACCATGAAAAGTTCATTCCATTGCCTTGCCCTTCCCACCTCCCTTGAAACCAGGGATAGGACTATTTCAAAGCGGAAAAAAATAAGTCAGAAAAAGAGGGGCAAGAAAGGACATAAGGAAGGCCATAGTTTGAAAATATAAAGGCAAAGAAGTTATAAAAAAAATTGAATGTTAAATTACCGGATAACCGTCTCGTCCTGCTTGCCCCTGTGGTAATTAATAAGTAATTAATAATCAGACTTTCAGCACAACATATGGCCACATTTATAATTTAATTAGGAGCTTAGCCAACCCAGCAGAAACTTGTGAATGATAATGCTTTACACAGAGGGAACAAAGCACTTTGAAACAGCTGGGCCAAAATAAGCTTGATGGGGAGAAATCCCCACTCCAGCTAGCAGGCACAAGGGAAGCAGCTGAAAAGCTGCGGGGGTGGTAGGTGGGTGACTCGTAATGGGCGCTCCCATTCAAGATAACTCTATCAAGCCTCCAGATTTCACTTTTGATTCAATGAAACTGTATGAGCCTTTACTGGCCAAATATGTGCCCAGACCATAGGCCCCAAACCAGGCCAAAGGCCCGAATCTGAAAGCACCTGCACCCGCAGATGGCTTCTCCTGGGCATGTTTTTACCCTGGTCTCAGTCAGCTGAAGTTGTGTTTAGAAGGAAAAAGTCAGAATCTTGATGTATTTCTATTCTTACCAGATGTTTCCTGACTGTGAGTGGTTAGTCAATCCTTGAGCTAGCGTAGAGGCCAGGATGAGAGAGCAGAAGAAATCTCCCACTCAGCCTGCAGCCTTATCATGACTCACAAAGGATTCTCTGTAAGGGTCATGCAATCACTTTTTAAAATACAAATGACAAATCTCTTCTTGGGTCTCCTGGGATACACCTTGATGAGTGTAACACAAGCAGCTTCTCTGTGGCAGTTAAAAACCAAGCACAGGTATATAGCTGCTGGTCCCCAACTGGGTTGCAAATGTCTTTGGGGCTTACCATGGTGTTTCGTGTATGTTTAGGAGCCTGGCAATTCCTAATGGTGCAGATCGAGAGATGAATTATCTCCAGTGGAAGTAAGAAAAAAACCAACAGAACTCAAGCTCATCTGGAAAGAATTCTATTTGAGGTTAATTTTGGCTAAAGCCAGAATTCAGTGTGCTCTTTGGATTGATTCATCAGGATTTATCAGGCTTTAAACATTGATGAGAGGAATCAACGCCAGACATCTCGTATAGGAAGGAATGAGATGCCAGGGAATCTGAGAATATCCCCCTTAAATGATGCCCCTGGAGGCAGGGGGGAAAAAACACTCAGGAATCTCCTTCCCTTCTCTCTCCCTTCCCCCCTCTTCTTTGTCCTTCATAAGAAAGCAGGAGAGGGCTCTTTAAAATCCAGGGTTAGGGACACATCAAACGGGTATCCTGATCGAAAACCAATCACCTGCTATGCTCAGCAGGATAAACTTCTATACCTTTTGACTCCTTTTAAGCAGAGAGGGGGTGGGCCGTGGTTGCAGAATGAGGCATACATTTTCAGACATGGCCACTCTTTTGATCTGTTTGACTGGGCTGTACTTTTTTTTTTTTTGGTCACAAGACATTGTTCTATAGGGAGAACCTGTTAGTTCTCCCTGTAGAAGGTACAGGAATCATTATGAAGTGACTATGATGTTTTCAAATAGATTATCAATAAATTATTTGAATAAACTTTGAAGGACTTTACTTTCCAATTTGGAGAGTAACATGTATTTTAGATGAAATTGAATTTTCAAGTGGGGTGCCTGACAGGGGGATTCTACGTGAGTCTCTGTGTTTGGCTGGGACATATGACATGAAAGTAACACTTTAAAGGACCATGAAGTTGATAGATTGTCTGGTTTCCAACAAATCACTATGACTGTCTTGAAGAACACAGTCATGTTTCATTTAATCCAAAGACCTAATTAGTCCTGTGAAATTCTTACCATGGACATTCTGGAGTGTGTGTGTGTGGGGGGGGCAGCGAGGTGGGGGACAGGCTTCCGCTCAATGGACCAGACTCCCATGCCTTAATAGACACGAACTCTCGATTAGCCAACTTTGGGCACTGACTGCAAAGGTCCATCTTTAATGTTTCCTGATGCTACCATTTGTATAGTCCAAGATTGACTGGCAGGAGATAAGCAAGAGAACTCTAAATATGTGCTAGTTTTCCAAGGATTACAAACTCTTGGTGGGGGGGGGGGTGGGGGGGAAACAGTTAAACGTTTTTAAAGCCTCTTTTTACTATGTGTCTACAATCAGAAAAATGTAGCCACATCTGGTACCAATTTTCCTTCCAGACACACCTACTCCTATACCCCCAAAATGGCATTTCAAGGAAATGGTGCAGAAAGAGAACAACAATGCCTTATCTTTGGGGATCGTTGGCGAGTGAAATCCACGATACTTACTGCAGGCCCTGCAATGCAAAAACATGAAAGCCACAATTAGAACTGAGTCCAAAGGAAGAACCCCTAGCCTAGCATTCTACAGTTTGTTGGGCAACAAGGCCTCACGTCCGCTCCTAGCAGCATCCAATTGGCTGTGGCAGCTCCCTCTGATGGCTTCCACTTCTGCCTGGCTTTTTTTTTTTTTGCGGGGGGAGGTGGAGGGAAAGGAGGCAATCAGGCTTAAGTGGCTTCCTTTCCAGGTAGTGCAGCTAAGCCTCGTGTCAGGAAGACCTGAGTTCAAATCCAGTCTCAGACACTTCCTACCTGTGTGAGCCTGGGCAAGTCACTTAACTGCTGCCTGCCTCAGTTTCCTCAGTTGTAAAATGGGGATACTAAAAGCAGCCACCTCACAGGGCTGTTGGGAGAGACATAAGCAGTAATATTTGTGAAGCTCTACTCACAGTGCCTGGCACATAGTAGGCGCTTAATAAGTACCTGTTCCCCTTTCCTGTTTCCTTCTCTATAAAATGAGAAGGCGAGACCAGATGGCCTCTAGAATCCCTTCTAGCTTTGACACTCAGGGTTCTTTGAAGAATCAAAGTGGGCTTACCCTTAAAAGTGCGGAGGCCTGATGGGGTTACTGAAGGCCCAACAGCACCAGGACCTTGGGCTAAACCTCATCTGGGCCTCTGCATTCTCTTATGGAAACCGAGGAAGGTTGGGCTGGGTGAATTCTTAAGTTCTCTTTGAGTTCCGAACAAGCACGTGTCCGAAGAAGCAGACTGTCCCTTTACCCCATGAGCCAAGGCAGTATGTTCTCTGCTCCCCAGTCACACAGACTGGGTCAGTAAAGGACCATAAATGACCAAAATTGGAGTAAGGAAAAAAATCTTCCAAAAAAATCTCGAGTTAATTCAGGCTGGAAGAAATGTTTTGGTGGTGATGACTAGGGATGGGTGGTAGGTAGGGGGATAATGATTGGGACCAATCCAATTCATATACATCCTCACTAGGTCCCATTATTTTTGCTTAACTGGAATTTATCTCAGACCAAAGAGACAAGCATGCCACCATTTACTTTCAAAACTTTATGTTGGATAAACACAGCTGTTCATTGAAGAGTCCAGAAAAATAGATTTTATGACTGGCCCAGAAAAGTCTGTAAAAATACAGGTCACTCATACTGACCTTTATTAACCAAGGTGCACAATATGTATATACATATTTACACATAAGAGGCTATCTAATTATAATACATATATAGTACATATATACATACACACATATTTATCAAATCCATGTTATTAAAAGCCTATTAAAGCAGAACTCACACTGCCCTCTAGAAGATACAAAATAAGGCCTTTCAGCTTCTTGGTTCAAGGGAGAATGACACATAATAACAGCAGCTCACATTTCTAAACTTCTTTAAGATTTACAAAACATTTTTTTTGTGCAACAGCCCTCCCTGGGAGGTAGGGAGAGCATGTACCCTCAGGTTATCCTCATTTTTCACCTGAAGAAACTGAGGCTCAGAGAGGGGAAAGTAACTTGCTCATGTATACACAGCTAGCAAGTGGCAAAACTCAGAATTTGAACTGTTTTTAAAAAACCTCAAATCAAGTAATTATTCAAAAAATCAGTCAACATGCATTTATTACAAACCTACTATATGTATGTATCATGACAATCCCAGTTCTTAAGGAGAGGGATGGGAGGAAGGGGTGTGTGTGTGTGTGTGTGTGTGTGTGTGTGTGTGTGTGTGTGTGTGTGTGTGTGTGTGTGTGTGTGTGCTCCTCATGTGAGGGAGAGAAGAAACAGACAGAAACAGAAAGACAGAGACAGAGATAGACAGTGACAGAGTGAGAGGCAAAGGAGAGAGAAAGAGAGAGACACAGAGACAAAAAGATAATGACAGTGAGAAAGAGAGACGGAGAAACAGAGATAGAGAGGCAGAAAGACAGAGAAAGAGACAGAGAGAGATAGAGAGCCAGAGACAGACAGAGAGAGGTGAGACTGAATTTGTTTGCTGCCAGGGAAATCTCCATGTTCACTCACTGACTGGGTGCTGCCCTCATGAGACTCAAATAGAGGATGAATAGAGACTTCAGACAATCACAGAATCGTGGATTTAGAGCTGGAAGAAAACTCGAAGGTCATCTAGTCCAAGCCCCTTATTTTACAAGTGAGGAAACTGAGTTCCAGAGATGCGAGATGGCTTGTTCAAGTTCCTATGGTGAGAGTCAGGGACAGAGCTAGGATTAGAATCCAGGTCTCCTGACTCCCAGTCCTGGGTTTCTATGCTATATTATGTTGGAAGCCCAATGACCCCTTCCTCTGAAACTCCTTTAAATATTTATTATGACACCCTTGGGTCACTGGATTTTCACCCTTTCGAAGGGAAGCAAGGGGAATCCTGATCACCTTCCACTTACCTGCTCCTCACACATGTACCCAACCCAGGGCAGCTTTACATGCTTAATGTGCTTGTATTTTATGCATCATTGTACATTATACTTATCTAGATTTGTATTTTGCCTTCCTAATAGACTGTGAACTTACTAAGGGCAGGTACTTGTCATTAATGAACCTGTATTTCTTCCAGAATCCAGCACAGTAAGCACTTAGGATCACAGATTTAGAACCAGAAGGGGACAATAAAGATCATATGGTTATGCACTGGCCCTGGAGTCAGGAGGATCTGAGTTCAAATCCAGCCTCAGACACTTGACACTTACTAGCTGTGTGACCCTGGACAAGTCACTTAACCCTGTTTGCCTCAGTTCCCTCGCCCGTAAAAGAGCTGGAGAAGGAAATGGCAAACCATTCCAGTACCTCTGCCAAGAAAACCCCCAATGGAGTCACAAAAATTCAGACATGACTAAAACGATTGAATAAGCTGAACGGGGTTCCCCAGGAGGGTTCCTCCGAGCTCTGCTGGCAGCCTCAGCCAGGTAAAATCTGGCTTCTGAAGGAGCATATGAGCTTATTAATCTGCCAGCCAGAGTGAGTTATTTTCACTCCTCTGTAAAAGGTCTCAGACACGTGAAAATTGTTATTACAAATAAAAATTGGAAACATATTCTAGAAGCATCCAAACGGAACGACTTTCAGGGCATGATTCAGGAATGAAATCTAGAAGCTCATGGGAACACAGGCCGAATAGCAGCCGGCAGCTCTGGAAACCTGCCAGGCTGGTCCTTTCCCCCAAGTGCTTTGCAAGTTCAGTCTAAAGCCCCAAAGCCACAGAATGTGGAGCTGGTGGGGCAATATGAGGGGCCGTAACAGAACCTACAGAGAGGAAGCATGGTCTTGGAAGACTGATGTTGCCTCTGTCTCATCTGACCCTCCTCTCACCCTGCGTCCAATGTGGAATGTTAGTCCAACACTAACAAGTCCACCCTGACTATTTGATAACCTATGGCCTTGAGGCCTCACATGGCCCTCTAAGTCCTCAAGTGTGGCCCTTTGAATCCAAATTCAGTCAAAGGGCCGTATTTGAGGACCTAGAGGGCCCACATGTGACCTTGAGGCATCAGGTTCCCCACCCCTGGCCTGAGCCATTGCTGGTCTTCCAGGGTCATTATGGACCTTCCATGGGATGGGAGTCCTATTCCTGAGCCCTACTCTATAGCTATGTTCCCACTGCCTCCAAGAAGATATCCTCCATGTTGCCTGCCCACATGGCTTCACATACTCCCAGGAGACAGCATGGTATAGTAAAGAGAATCCTGACTGGTGCCTGAAGACTTGGGTTTGAATCCTGGCTCTGCCATTTAACATCCATGTGACCTTGCCTCTCTGGACCTCAGTCTCTTCATCTGTAAATGAAAGGGTTGGACCACAGCGCTGCTAAAGTTCCTTCCAGGTCTAATAATCTATATTCTAAGATTCTTTTTAGCTTTGACAGAGAGGAGAAGCACTGTGGTGTAATGATGAGAGTGCTGGACTCAGAACTGGGAAAACCAGGGTTTAGATCACAATCCCACCTCAGATTCTTGTTAGCTATGGGAAGCTGGGCAAGACTTTTGATCTCACTGAGCTTCAGTTTCTCCATCTGGAAGATGGGGATGATAATCACACTTCCCCCGAAGGGCTTTTATTGTAAGGATTAAACGAGATAATGCATATAAAGGACATTGACAAATTTAAAGCATGTAAATGCAAATACAAGCTATTGCTTTCGTAAACAGGCCATCAGGCCAGAGCCCCCTGGAACCACATGAAGCTTGGGAAAACCACACTGGAAGCAGGCTGTCAGGAAGGCATTCTCTGGGCTAGGAGGCGCTGGCTGCTTAGAGGTGGGGAAGGGGAGGAAGGAGCTGTTCCTGAGCACTGTCCGAGGCTTTGCCTTAGGTTGAGACACCTTGGCCAGCTCCCTGGTGCAGCTCCATGGATTCTGGTCTGCCATGGCCACATCCTTTTTGAGTGTGTGTTTTTGTGGGGTGGGGTAGGTGATGGCGGAAAGGGCAAGGTAAAGGACAGCTCAATAAATGCTGATGGATTGATCCTTATCCAATGACCAACAAGTGGACCTGCTCTTGGAACAGCTGAACCATAGCTGTTTCTGTATTCTTATTAGAATGATTGCATTGATTAGTAGCCAGCTCCTGTATTTCCAGCCTGGTCAAGAGCCCTAAGGGTCTTACTACTTTTATTTTTTAATTTTCGTTTTTTGGGTGAAGCAATTGGGGTTAAGTGACTTGCCCAGGGTTACACAGCTAGTAAGTGTTATGTGTCTGAAGCCTGATTTGAACTCAGGTCCTCCTGATTCCAGGGCCAGGGCTCTAGCCAATGCACCACCGAGCTGCTTCACTAGTCTTATTACACACACACGCGCACACCACACAGAGATCTAAATCTGTACTCATTGGTATAGAGCTATACTTAAATTTATATATTCACCATATATATCAATACCTATATTTATATAATCTATATTACCTATAATCAATAATAATTATAATTCCCTAAAATTTTAAAACATTCATCTGAGAAGGGACCTGTAGGTCTTATCACTGTCAAAATGGTC